CTCTAAATTCAGGTGGGATATGTTCAAGGTCATGTTTTGGCTTTCATGGACTTCTTTTATTTTTCTTCAGCTTCAGCCTGAACTTGCATATGAGCAATTGATGGTCTGTTCCACAGTCTTCTCCAACCTTGTTTTGAATGATGATGTGGAGCGTTTCCACCTCTTTTGATTGATTTCTGTATATGCTTTCTGATGAAGCCCATGTGTTTAATTGCCTTTTATGTTGTTTAAAGGGGTATTTGCAATGAAGAAGTCTTTGGTCTTGCAAAATTCTATCATGTGATCTCCAGCATCATTTCTATCACCAAGGCCATATTTTCCTACTACTGATTCTTCTTTGTTTCCAACCTTTGCATTCCAATCACATCTCGATTGCATGCTTGATGAATTTCAGAGTGAAGAAATTGGTATAATTCTTCAGTTTTGTCTTCACTGGCTTTAGTGGTTGGTGTGTAAATTTTAATAATAGTGTGGTATTAACTGGTTTTCTTTGTAGGCCTATGGATCTTATATGATCACTGACAGCATTATACTTCAAGATAGATCTTGAAATGTTCTTTTTAATGATAAATGAGAAATTAATCCTCTTCCCTTTGTTATTTCTGGCGTAGTAGACCATGTGATTGTCAGATTCGAAATGTCCAATACCAATCCATTTCAGCTCAATAATGTCTAGATATCAGTGTTTATGCATTCCATTTCATTTATGACAACTTCCAATTTTCCTAGATTCATACTTCATACATTCCATCTTCCAATTATTAATGGATGTTTGCAACTATTTCTCCTCATTTTGAGTTGTGCTCCATTAGCAACTGCAGGTCCCAAAAGATTTATGTCATTTGTGTCATCACCATCAACTCTACTTTAAGGAGGCAGTTCTTCCCCAGTTGTATTTTGAGTTTCTTACTGACTGGCTCATCTTCTAGCACTTTATCTAACAATATTCTGGGTCTCTTCATCATGTTTCAATGTTCAATATATCTGCTGCTATCTGACAGTGTTTCACTGCTAGTCAAAGTTTTCAGTGGCTAAACGTTTGGAAGTGGTCCATCTCCTCCTTCATTGTCTGCCTTAGTCTGGAAGTGCAGCTGAAACTTGTCCACGATGGGTGACCCTGCCAGCATTCAAATACCAGTGGCATAACTACTAGTATCACAGCAACATTCAAGCCACCACAGTGGGTTAAACTGACAGATGAGTGGTGGAGACATTTATACAATAAAATTCAAAATGATTGACCAACTATAAGATCATGTATCTTTCTTTTTTGTTGTTGTTGTTGTTGTTATGTGCCGTGGAGTCAGTTCCAACTGATAGTGACCCTGTACAGGGTTTCTGAGGCTGTAAATCTTTATGGGAGCAGAAAGCCTCATCTTTCTCCTGCGGAATAGCTGGTTGTTTCGAACTGATGACTCTGATGTTAGCAGCTCGATTTGTAACTACTACACTACCAGAGCTCCTTATGTATCTTTCTATACCACCCTGAATTTCCATTTATTGCTTCTGTAGGTTAGATCCCATGGTCATTCTTCTGTGAACAGTTAATTTATTTTGTCTCCCTGTAAATTACAATATCTAACCTAGTATACTATCTGGCTCATGTCTAAAATGTCACCCTGATGTCATGGAAAGGATCCTAGAATGGTAGACAAACCATCTGGTTTCTAGCTCTGCAGCTAGCTGTAAGAGATCGAAATTCACATCTATAAAATGGAGCTTTTTTTTTGGTAGTGTGAGTATGAATGTTTGTTTAGTGAGTGGTGAGGAAACAACTCATCTGTTGCTCATAAAGGGTACTCAATAAATGCTTAAAGACACTCTTAAAATTGCAAATAAGTAGCTTTAGATCTTCCAGGATTTGGGGTAGAACATATCAACAACCAGGAAGAGGGTTGAGGATAAACTATGGCCAGTAACTTTAAAGAGCCTA